TTCTTGTCATTTACGAATAATAATTATTGATTGTTATTGATAATAAAGATATTAACAGTAATAAGTACAATCGTAGTAACGCAAAGAAATTAGTTTTTACTTATTGAGAAGTTCATATTTATGTTGATAATACACATATCCAAGGACAAAATAGTAGTTTAATAGTTTAACATTTTTTATATTTTACATCATTAATTTATGACTGTTATTTGTTTATCAGGAACAATGCTATTTCTCCCATGAATCAACTTCTCTTGACGTTGAGATTCTACGCTACTGGCAGCCACTTAATATCGGCAGGTGATTTTTCTGGAGTGAGCAAAACAAGTGCTCATAGAATTGTCCATCGCGTAACAAATGCTATTGCTCGTCTTCGGCCAAGATTTATAAAATTTCCTACTCTTGCGGATGAAATAAGAACAGAACAAATAAAATTTTTTAACATAGCACGATTTCCGAGAGTTGTGGGCTGCATAGATTGCACTCATGTAAAAATCCAGTCATTTGGTAATTAAACTGTGTATATCATCGATATTTGGAAGTGAAGTTCATACAAACTTTCTTACTGTTATAGAAGTGTCAATAATTATTATAAATATTTTCAGGTGGAAATGATGCAGAATACTTCAGAAATCGAAAAGGTTATTTTTCGATTAATGTCCAAGCGATTTGTAACGCTAATTTGGAAATAACGGACCTTGTAGCTCGTTGGCAAGGTTCGGTGCATGACACCACAATTTTCAACAATTCCAGGATACGTGCTCTTTTTGAGGCTGGAGTATTTGGAGATGCCTTCATCTTAGGTGATGGTGGTTATCCTGTTCGATCCTGACGCCTCTACACAATACAGAAAATCGTGCTCAGGAACTCTATAACGAATCGCTTATTAGAACACGCAATACCATTGAGCGCGTGTTTGGAATATGGAAAAGACGATTTCCAATTTTGGCACTGGGTTCTCGATTCGCTAAAGTTGAAAGAGTGCTACCAGTCATTGTAGCAACTGCCATATTGCATAACATTGCCCGGCGTGCTGGAGATCCATTACCCCCAGATGATCCTGAGTTACAGTTGCCTGTACCGTGGGAAGAAATCTTGAATCAGGGAAATGTACCAATTATGAATGATGCAGCTGTAATAATCATGTGCAGAATATATTAATTAATAATTATTTCCGCAGGTAAGAATAAAAATCTCTTAGACAAATTATTTATATACATGCTATTCTTACATGTAGTAATATTTAAATATATTATTTTTCAGCTTGTTATAGACTAAATTATCTCAAGCATATTTAAGGCTATCAAAAGGTAATTCAAAAAATTTAAGAAAGAAACAATAATAAAGTTTTATTTATCACATTTTTATAATTATATTATAATAAAGTTTCAATTATATTATATATTTATTATTTTTTATTATATAACAAAGTTTATTATATTAAAGTTTTACTTATCAAATGATTGTAGTTGTTTTCTTAGAAATTCAACTTCAAGTTGTTCTTTTTCTAATTGTGTATTTAAAATTTGTATTTCTATTTCAGATTTTGCACGTAAATCCTCCTTCATTAGCTCGACTAATTTTAGATTGAGCTAAATCATAGAAGCATTGGTTACGTCTTACAGCGCTTATTACAGGCATTCTTGTCTGTCTTGTCCGCTTTACAGTTTTCTTTTTTAGGGTTGAACTTGCAGGGTTTTGATTTTCCTTCGACGATGTTTCCATAGCTGCCGTTACTTCAGCATATGATAGAAGATCCGAATCTGGAGTTTCTTCATCATTGTATACCGGAATTTGTAATTCAGTACTCTTCTTCGAATGTAGCATTGCCGGAGTCCAATCAGTCCATTTATTTGTTGTTAAATTTGCTTTATCGAGTGCCTGCGGTTAATAAACACATTATGATTAGTATTGTAAAATAATATATTTGGAACATCACGAATGCCATTCTGAAAATATTGACCAACAATCATAAATGTCAGTAAGGCAATGTACTTTCTTTTCAAAGGAGTGTTTGATCAAAACGCACGAAATACCAGCCTACTAACATCAATTGGTAAACAGAATAACACCCGCTTGAGATAAAAGCATAGAAACAATTATCAATGTACATACTTCAACCTCGAAAATTACATCATCATTATCGTTTTTATCCTGCTCCACATTTACGTCATCTATTAAAATAAGTTGTAAAAATATTTATAATAAAATAAATTTATGATTATTCTTTTGAGATTCTTGTTCAATTTCGAAAAATAGATGATAAGGAACTTATACATTATACAATGTATACAATCTATGTATAATTGAGAAAGTATATAAAATAATACAAGTATATAACATATATATACCTGTTACACAATCGCTGTCGAATGGATTCCGTAAACCATCGACTGATAGTTGAATAACATTTTTAACTCTTTCGGCTATCGGGTCATCAGAAATAGTCATCTTTCCACCGCCTACACATTAATTATTAATTAATACTTATATATGCTAGTATATATCTTATAATAAACATACTCAGTGCAATACCTGTTGCGAAGACTTCTTTACGTATTTCCGCAAAATGCTTCCGAGTCCTCTTTTTTAAATTGTCCCAGCAATTTTTTAGCGATGTCACATTTCGGTTTGCTTCTATGCATCTGCTATTAAATTCACGGCTTATATTTAACCAGCATTTCTCTTTTTCTTTAATATTTACAGCGTCGGTTTGCTTGTTTTCAATTATGTGTTTCTTACTTTCAATGATTTCGATTAATGTCATTTTTTCTTCTGCCGAAAAATTCGGTAATCGCTTTTTATTCGGATTGTCCTTTACGGACAATTGCTTCTTATTACAAGACATCACATAACCTTTTTCCCAGCACGTTAATCACTGTTCTTTGCAAAATTTCAACTAACCAATCACTGTTCACATTTACGGAGAAAGAAGCGTATATTCTGAATTTCAGTGAATAGAGTATAAGTTTATGTAACCTATGGTTAAAAATGAATTGTGGAACGCGATACAGGTTTAACATCAGCGTCAACTTTGACGGCCGTTCAGTTAAACTCGGGTTAAACTAAAAATTGTGGAACCGGGCCTTAATCTTACAAAAATGTATTCGGGGGTTTTCGGGGTCGCTGATTGCGAATATGATGTTAGTTTTTCAAAATTCAAAATGGCGGATCCAAAATGGCGGACGATTTTTTGAAAATGAAACGAAATCAACTTGAAACTCGTTACTCGGGGGTTTCCGGGGTCACTGATTACGAATATGATGTTAGTTTTTCGAAATTCAAAATGGCGGATCCAATATGGCGGATGGAAATTCATAAAGTAAAGCTACGCTCACAAAAATAATTACTATGGTGTTTTCGAAGTAGCTAATTACGAATCTGATGCCAGTTTCCCAAAATTTTGAAAAACTAACATCATATTCGCAATCAGCGATCCCGAAAACTCTCGAATACATTTTTGTAAGATTAACGCTACTTAATTGTTAATTATTAATTTTATATTTTTTCACAAGTCACAAAAAGGGTTAATTTTTATATTGAGGGGGTGGTTTGTACCCCTAAAACGCTTTATGGGGACGTATAAAGAAATACGTATCCAATATTTTTCGGTGTTTTGAAAGTATGCCAAGTTTCATTAAGATCGGCGGGTGGCACTTGGGTATGTTTACTTGATTGCCATCCCTGAAATTTTCAAAATGTTCAAAATTTTCTAATTGTCAAAATTGAATTTTCCCGTCAAAAGTGAACGCAGCGCCCTCTATGCTTAGTGTTTTGGATTCGTCTGGAAAAGACCTTTCCAATGAGCCCCCACTCGACCTATGTTGCCATTTAAAATTTTCGACCCCCCTCGTGCTCCACGTGCCCCCTTAGGGGTGGGGGGTCGTAACCCCCCTCAAAAGATAGATTCTTTGAAAAATCGTTTCACGTGTTTCAGCGTTTTTTTTTAAAACCAATGGTTTTTGAAATATTTGACCGTTC